GAGATTTTGACAAAACATGGTCCACTGGAGAAGGGAATGGCAAACCACTTCAGAACTTGAGAACCTTGAGAACCTGATGGATAGTATGAAAATAGAAAAAAGATATGACATGGAAAGATGAACTCCCCAGGTCAGTAGGTGCCCAATATGCTGCTGGAGAAGAGTGGAGAAATAGCTCCAGAAAGAATGAAGAGATGGAGCCAAAGCGAAAAAAATGCCCAGTTGTGGATGTGACTGGTGGTGGAAGTAAAGTCAGATACTGTAAAGAAACAATATTACATAGGACCCTGGAATGTTAGGTCCATGAATCAAGGCAAATTGGAAGATGGCTAGAGTGAAGATTGACATTTTAGGTATCAGTGAACTAAAATGGATCAGAATGGGCAAATTTAATTCAATGACCATTATATATACTACAATGGGCAAGAATCTCTTAGAAGAAATGGTGTATTCCTCATAGTCAATGAAAGAGTATGAAATGCAATACTTGGGTACAATCTTGGTTTGTTTCCAAGGCAAACCATGCAATATCACAGTAATCCAAGTCTATGCCCCAACCAGTAATGCCGAAGAAGCTGAAGTTGAATGGTTCTATGAAGACCTAGAAGACCTTCTAGAACTATTTATTTTTAATTTTTATTTATTTTCACTCAGTTGTGTCCGACTCTTTGAGACCCCGTGGACTGTAGCCTACCAGGCTCCTCCGACCATGGGATTCTCCAGGCAAGAATACTAGAGTGGGTTGCCATGCCACCCCAAATGTCCTTTTCATCACAGGAGACTGGAATGCAAAACTAGGAAGACAAGAGATAACTGGAGTAACAGGCAAGTTTGGTGTTGGAGTATAAAATGAAGCAGGGCAAAGGCTAGCAGAGTTTTCCCAAGAGAACACTCTGGTCATTGCAAACAGCCTCTTCCAACAACACAAGAGAAGACTCTACCTGTGAACATCACCAGATGGTCAGTACTGAAATCAGATTGATTCTGTTCTTTGCAGCCAAAGATGGAGAAGTTCTATACAGTCAGCAAAAATAAGACTGGAAACTGAGCGGGGCTCAGATCATAAACTCCTTATTGTAATATTCAGACTTAAATTTAACAAAGTAGAGAAAACCACTCGATCATTCAAGAATGAGGTAAATCAAACCCCTGATGATTATACAGTGGAAGTGACAAAGATTCAAGGGATTAGATCTGATAGAGTGCCTGAAGAATTATGGATGGGGGTTTGTGACATGGTAAAGAAGGGGGTGATCAAAACCATCCTCAAGAAACAGAAGTTCAGAAAGGTAAAATAGTTGTCTGAGGAGGCCTTACAAATAGCTGAGGAAAGAAGAGAAGTAAAAGGCATAGGGAAAAGGAAAGATATATCCACCTGAATGCAGAGTTCCAAAGAACAGCAAGGAGAGATAAGAAAGCCTTCCTAAGTGATCATTGTAAAGAAACAGAGGAAAACAATAGAATGGGAAAGACTAGAGATCTCTTCAAGAAAATTACAGATACTAAGGGAACATTTCATGCAAAGATGGGCACAATAGAGGACTGAAATGGTATGGAAACTAACAGAAGCAGAAGATATCAAGAGGAGGTGGCAAGAATATACAAAAGATCTATAAAAAAAAAAAATCCTGATGATCCAGATAATCATGATGGTGTGATTACTCACCTAGAGCCAGACATCCTGGAGTGTGAAGTCAAGTGGGCCTTAGGGAGCATCACTACAAATATAGGTAGGGGAGGTAATGGAATTCCTGTTGAGCTATTTCAAATCCTAAAAGATGATGCTGTGAAAGTGCTGCACTCAATATGACAGCAAATTGGGAAAACTCAGCAGTGGCCACAGGACTGGAAAAGGTCAGTTCTCATTCCAACTCCAAAGAAAGGAAATGCCAAAGAATGATCAAACTACTGCACAACTGCACTCATCTCACATGCTAGCAAAGTAATGCTCAAAATTCTCCAAGCCAGGCTTCAACAGTATGTGAACTGAGAACTTTTTGATGTTCAAACTAGATACAGGAAAGGCAGAGGAGCCAGAGATCAAGTTGCCAACATCCGTTGGATCAAAGAAAAAGCCTGAGAATTCCAGAAAAATATCTACTTCTGCTTTATTGACTATGCCAAAGTCTTTGTGTGGATCACAACAAACTGGAAAATTGTCCAAGAAGGGAATAGCAGATCAGCTTCCTTGCCTCCTGAGAAATCTGTGTGCAGGTCAAGAAGCAACAGTTAGAACCAGACATAGAACAATAGTCTGGCTCCAAACTGGGAAAGGAGTGCGTCAAGGCTGTAGGTTGTCACCCTGCTTATTTAACTTAAATGCAGAGTACATCACGTGAAATGCTGTACCTGGATGAAACACAAGTTGGAATCAAGAATGCCTGAAGAAATGTCAACAACTTCAGATATGCAGATGACACCACCCTTACTGAAGAAAGTGAAGAGGAACTAAAAGCCTCTTGATGAAAGTGAAAGAAGAGAATGGAAAAGTTGGCTTAACACTCAACATTCAAAAAATGAAGATCATGGCATCCGGTCTTATCACTTCATGGCAAATAGATGAGGAAACAGTGGAAACAGTGACAGACTCTTTTTTTCTTTGGCTTGAAAATCACTGGCGATGCAGACTGTAGGCATGAAGTTAAAAGATGCTTGCTCCTTGGAAGAAAAGCTATGATCAACCTAGGCAGCATATTAAAAAGCAGAGACATTAGTTTGCTGACAGAGATCTGTATAGTCAAAGCTATGGTTTTTCCAGTGGTCATGTATGGATGTGAGAGTTGGATCATAAAGAAAGCTGAGTGCCGAAGAATTGATGCTTTTTGAACTGTGGTGTTGGAAAAGACTCGAGAGTCCCTTGGACTGCGAGGAGCTCAAACCAGTCCATCCCAAGGACTCAAATCAGTCCTGCATATTCATTGGAAGGACAGATGCTGAAGCTGAAGCTCTAACAGTTTAGCCACCTGATGCGAAGAACTGACTCAGAAAAGACACTGATGCTGGGAAAGATTCAAGGCAGGGGAATTGGACGACAGAGGATGAGATGGTTGGATGGCATCACCGACTCAATGGACATGAGTTTGAGCAAGCTCTGGGAGTGGTGATGGATAGGGAAGCCTGGTGTGCTGCAGTCCATGTGGTCACAAACAGTTGGACACTACTGAGTAACTGAACTGAACTGAAGATTCAGTAATGGGATGGATTAAAGTTTTTGGGTAGAAAAGAAGCATGATGTAGTCTGTCAGAAATTTTGAGAATGAAGAGTAAGTGATTGCTTCTAAATACTACAATTAATTTGACTGACAATTGGGCGTTAGAGAACCCACACGGGAAAGAGCAGGTTTTAAGGAAAGGAAATGAAATACCAATTCAATACATGCATTTTAATAAACATTTTTGTATTTAGGCCATTTTTCACAGTAAATTTTATCGTAAATGCTTAACCCTAGAAAACATGTACACATGGGTGTGCTCCTATAACAAACAAATTTAACAGGGTGGCTTGAAAAGAGAAAGCAGTAATAATTTGACCCTTCAGGACCTTTTGCTTTTGTCAAATTTTTTAATCGTTCCTCTTCAAGTATATAGAATGCTGAAAGAAGAAAAGATAAATTTTTCAATTGTTAATTGCCAAATTTTGTTTATAGTATATTATTATTCAAAAAGCTCTTTGTCACTTGCTTCTTCCAGTTTAGAAATAACTGGCTTTGTTCGTTCCTCTGACTACAGTTCTAACAGGACTGGTTTTACTCGGATTTTCAAAAGAAAGCTCAGTACTGCAAATGGGTTTTTGAATCATATATGAACCTTCATAATGGGACAAAGGCCACATTTACAGAAAACTGACTTACGCCCCAGGCACTCGGCAGGACACTTTAACTTGCCCAAAGTCAGAAATTATGTCACAGAGCTAGGATTCATATTCAGGTCTGCCTGACTGCAGAGCTTTTCTGCCACATCACATTGATTCTTGAATGTATTTCAAAAATTTATAAATCCATTTTTACTCTGTAGCTGTAAAAGGATTTCACACAGTATGTTAGGGAAAACACTGATTGAAACTGCCTGCCCTGGCTAGGCACCATAGCAACCATTTGCATGAACTATTTTTTGACAGGTGGGCCAGGTAAAGAATGCAGAACCAACAAGTAACCACTAGCCAGAAGAATTTAGGAAAGGTCAAAAAGAGATGCCACCTGTCCTACTGATCTCCCAGAATCCTCCTCATTGAAATTCATTTTGGATGAGCAATGGCTGAGCCACCAGGAAGGACCCTGAGTCAGAATGACTGGCCAGAGACAATCTGGAAACTAATCTCATCACCATCAAACCGGAGGCTGCGAGTCACGGAGCAGAGTCCTCCTGCTCTTCGCCTAAGGGCCCCTTTCTTAATAAAATCTCTTGCTTTGTCAATATGTGTCTCCTCAAACAATTCATTTCTGAGCGTTAGACAAGAGCCCCCATGGGTCCCCCTTCCTGCAACAAATACATAAAAAAATTTATTCTTCTGTTCAAGTTAAAATATGTCAAGACAGTTTGAGGTCATGTTGCTGGATATTCCATGACCCATTTCTTACTCTCTTTAGCTCTGTTTCCTTTCACCATTAGCTACTTCGTCATCCTTCACTGTATAAGTTATTAAACCTTCCGACTATCTTTTGACTCACTGGAATGTGTGTGCTCTTATATGCACACACGTTGGGTGACTAGGGGGAGGCCAGTGGTACGTATGAGCAATATGACTTATTATGGACAAATAGCAGGAAAAACGCTACCCATATCCACAGATAGGTTCCTTAAGTCATGTGTAAAGAGACAGTATTATTAAAAGTTTGCTTTATTTTCCTGTTAAATCAAGTATCAATGCTATCTCCCAATTACATTTCATGCCTTACAGACATTAGCACAGTTAGTATCACCTCATCAACAACTGAATAATAAATCAAACTAGGTCCCGGTGGTTATGTCCATATCTAGATTGCCAGGGTGATCAGGAACTCTTATTTATTTGCTTTAGCTTTTAGTTCTTGGTTATATCTATAAAGAAAACAGAAAGAAAAAAGGATGAATCACAATAAACACATTCATTTTTTAACTAAAATTTTTTTTTCTTTTTTTGGTTGCACTGCATAGCATGTGGGATCTTAATTCCCTGACCAGGGATAGAATCCATGCCCCCTGCAGTGGAAATGTGGAATCTTAACCACCGGACCACCAGGAAGTCCCTAGATAATATTTATAATACGATGGGAAGGAGAAGCATATTCCATTTCTTCTTTTTCACTAGTCAAGAGGCTATACAGTTGTAAATACAATCTTGCCAGGGGCTTATAGGTAGAAATATGCAGAAAGGAGAATAACCTAAGGACTTTATTTGAATCTGGCTTGAAACTGTCAAAAAGTCTTAACTGACTTACAGTTTGCTATACAAAAGTATTAATTTAATGTAAGAATATTTTCATTCTTGAACTATATGAGAGTATGACAAATGTGAACATATGTATAAAATTTACCAAAACGTAGTCACCTAGAGCTTTTAATTTCATATTCACAAAGCATCTTCCCTGAGAATAAAATCAGTTGGGAATGAGCCTGTCTAGTCACTAAAAATATAATTCTGTGACACAGGCTGGCTACTGGCTTAGGAGATGTAACATTTAAGTTTTCTGAAACTAAGGACAATTTCTTCAGTTCTCATTAATTCTCAATTTTCATTAATTCAAAGAAGAATTAACCACAAAGCTACAAAATCTTTCTGTTTTACAACACCCTGGGCTTAATTTACTAATCTTCTCAGCTGAAAATAGAGTGGAAAACTGAACAAGCACAAAAAGGAAGCTATTCTATGAAGCCTATCATACCTCCTATACTTCTCAAAAGGTCCTGAATTTCAAATATTAAACCCTATTTTCCTGAGTGCTCCAGAGAGTCCAACATTTGTATTTCTAACTAAATCTCTCAATCTGCTATTTTAATTGTAAGGCTAAATATCCTTTTATTTAATTGTATCCAAATTTCTGCTATTAGAAATAACATTTTTGAATGTGGCACTTAGTGTTCTCATAGTTTTACTATCATGAGTTAATATAAAGTTAAAATAAGATGGTGTATGAGAAAAGTACTCTGTGAATAAAATCAACACACAAACTGGTTTATATTGATATAAGTTAAGACCTAAAAATGGTTAACAGGCATTTGTAGAATAAGTGAGTATTCATCTATCTGTTATGTCTTAGATTATTATGAAAAGATTACACAATTAAGCTGCAAGTAAAGCTAGGTATGGTACAGATAAATGAAATTAAATGTACTATACACTACAAAATACAATGCTTTCTGAAAAGAAGGAATATTACATAACTCAATGTTTTCTAATTTTTTATTGAGATCATTCAATTTTTTTAGCCAAAGAAAGCTGTTATTCATAACATTTTTTTGTAATTTTGGAAGGTCCTATGGTTCAAACAAAGCCAGAGCCTTCATCTAAGCTCATTCCAGAGTGTTAGCTAGTCACTGACAAATAATATTAATTACTGAATAAATAGTTTCAAGGGCTTCCCAGGTGGCTCAGTGGTAAAGAATCTGTCTGCAATATAGGAGATGTGGGTTTGATTCCTGGGTGGGGAAGTTTCCCTGGATAAGGAAATGGCAACCCACTCTAGTATTCTTGCCTGAGAAATCCCATGGACAGAAGAGCCTGGTGGGCTACAGTTCATAGGGTCACAAAGAGTCGGACACAACTGAATGACTAAACGACAACAAAAACATGGAGAGCTTACCTCCAAATACGAAAGAGCTGAGAGGCTCCTGCTGTCCCAACAAAGAAATTAACAGCAAATAGACTCCAGTTTTTTGGAATAATTACAAGTGAGTATCTTGACCAAATAAAGCCTGTTGAAATAAAATATTTTTAAAAAACAGCACAGGTATTGCTGCAATCTTATCTAAACATTTAATATTAGAGTAAAATACTTAGACTAAGATTTTATTTTCTTGGGCTCCAAAATCACTGCAGATGGAAACTGCAGCCATGAAATTAATAGATGCTTGTTCCTTGGAATAAAAGCTATGACAAACCTAGTGAGGATACTAAAAAGCAGAGATATCCCTTTGCCAACAATAGTCAAAGGTATGGTTTTTCCAGCAGTCATGTATGGATATGAGAGTTGGACCATAGAGAAGGCTGAGTGCTGAAGAACTGATGTTTTCAAATTGTGGTGCTGGAGAAGACTCTTTTTTTTTTTGGAGAAGACTCTTGAGAGTCCCTTGGACAGCAAGAAGATCAAACCAGTCAATCCTAAAGGAAATCAACCCAGAATATTCATTGGAAGGACTGATGCTAAAGCTGAAGTTTCAGTACTATGGCTATAGAGCTGACTCACTGGAAAAGATCCTAATGCTGGCAAAGATTGTGGGCAGGAGGAGAATGGGTAACAGAGGATGAGATGACTGGATGGCATCACCAACTCAATAGACATGAGTTTGAGCAAACTCCGGGAGATAGTGAAACAGAGTAACCTGGCATGCTTCAGTCCATGGGGTCACAAAGATTCAGACACAACTTAGCGACTGAAAAACAACAGCATAAAGTAGGGGAAAAAGGTTATAATCTGAGATTTAATGAAGTTGGTATAATTCAGGATTACACAAAACACTCAGTTATTACATCAAAGAAAAACTTTCATAACCCTCCTTCTGCCTTCTTTGGCTATAGTCTAATAACTGCCTAAAGGTAATACCATTAATTTCTTTGTGTGTGAGTGTGCGTGTGTGTATTTCAAATGCTAAACAGTCAAGTAAATTGATGTAAAACTAATTATTGAATGTCCTATATGGAAGATATTCATTTAATTTACCTGTAGCCATCAAAACAGCAGATTGAGCCGTGCTGAGTTTTTCTGCAGGTCTGGCCATGTCAGCCAATCCAGCACACACCAGCCCCTGGAAATAAATGTTTTTTTCAATGTTACTCTTTTTTAGAAATGGAAGTACCAGAAAGTTGGTATAATTTTAAATTTCTTGGTTAGGTAATCTTTCCTTAATGTCAAAGTATACATGGTCATTTCTTCTCTGGCATATTTTTAATACTGTCTTTTATAGAATCATTCTAGTCATGCTCCACCACGAGCATCAGTCAGAAAGTTGAGTAATGAGTCCTAATAGAATATTACTTATGCTACTCTACTACACAGATTAGAATACATAATAGAATGATTTTTATTGATGAAAAATTCACTCCTACACAAAATAAAGAGATACTAAGAGAATGAACCCCTATATACCCATCACCCAGTCAACAATTATTGAGATCTGCCATATTTACCTTTCCTCCTCCCTTTCTCCTTTTTTCTTTAAGTATTTTAAATCAAATTCTAAACATGTCATTAGAAAATACGGTCTTAAGAAATTCATTTTCGACTTCCCTTGGGGTCCAGAGGTTAGGAATGTGTATGCCAATGCGGAGGACATGAGCTGGATCCTGGTCTGGGAAGACCCCACCTGCCAAGGAGCAGCTAAGCCCAGAGCCACAACTATCGAAGGCTGGGTGCTCGAGTGTCCGAGTTCAGCAACTACTGAGCCCACCTAGTGAAGCTACCGGAGCCGGGGTGCTCTAGAGGTGGTGCTCTGCAACAAAAGAAGCCGCTGCTCACTGCAACCAGAGAAAGCCTGTGTGCAGCAACCAAGACCCAAGAAAGCCAAAAATAAATGAGTAATTCATTTTCAGGTTTTATTCAGTTCCTAAAAGATGCATGAAACATTAAAAAAAAGTTTTCTCCTCCTAAATACAACACATGCATACTAGTGAATTTATACACAAATTTAAACCCATTAAAATGATTTTTATTTAAAAAAGTCATTGGTTCGAGAAAGCAGTGATTCTGGCTCAAAAAGTGGCAAATGGTTGAATACTGAAGTGGAAGTAGAGGTGTACCATACCTAACACTATTTTTCTCCTTAATTTTCACCCACAGTCGGGTGATTTCTTCTCAAACAGCTCCGAATCATCGCTCTTGCTTTTTCCTTCCAGGTCCTAATATCCATTTTCTCTCTTGCATATTTGTTCCACTTTGGCAGGGTGGAATACTGCCCTTGTATAGGGGAAGAAGGGGACTGGTTTCTACCATTATTGTACTCGGTCCATGTATTACTACACTGTGGCTTTTCAAATAGACTAGAGGCTATATTCTAGCATTGTCTTTTGGAAGAAGTTAACAGCCATGATTTTGTTTATGCTGAGTATACATTTCATTTTTCTAGGACATGTTAGTAATCGTTCTCTCTCACAAAGGTCCTGAGTGCCCTCTCCCACAGTTATTTTTCTTTTCTTCTTGAAATCATCTTCTCTCTTAATATAGATGTATATATATTTTCTGATCCATTTACAAAGACGTTGGAGATATCATGCCCTTTGACTCTCTAGTATTTTAGTGTATATTTGCTAAGAACAAGACTATCTTCCCATTTTCTTAATCCATAATCTAATCACAAAATTTAACATGGACAAGACACTGTTGTCTAATGTACAGTTCACAGTTAAATTGTGACATAGTTAAAACTGTCCCAAAATGTCTTAAAAAAAATTGTTTTTTCTTGTCTAGAGTAGTTAGGTCAGGAGAATACACTGCATTTGGATGTTACACCTTTTAGTCTTCTTCTGAAACTGAAGTATAGTTGGTTTATAATACTATATTACTTAGTTTCCTTTCCTGAATTTCTAAAAAGCCCTTTCAATTTCTATACCACTCTAATCTCATGTAAATTACCTTAGAAAATCTTATTGTGAATTTATTTATCTCTGTCATTTACTAGTTTGATGACTTTGGTCAAGTTATATAATACTCTCTCTCTCTTTTTTTTTTTGGCCATAAAGCTTATTGGATCTTAGTTCCCTGACAAGGGATTGAATTTGGGCACCCTGCAGTGGGAGCGCTGAATCCTAACCACTGGACAGCCATGGAATTCCCCATGACACTTGTCTTATATTCTTCATGTACAGAGTGAGAATATTAATAGCTACCCTTGCAAGAGTGATATATTATTAAATGAGATAATATGCTTTAAAGATAGTTAGCACAGTGTCTGGAAAATATTACTGTTAGCAATGACAAATAGTAGTTTACATTTTTAGAGAAACAGAGGTAAGGGAATATTAGTCTCTGTACCCTTTCCTGTATTTCTAGCCTCAGGGGCTAGAAGGTCAATGTTCCTCTTCTTTATTATGAACTTTACTCAAATAATAGAACTGTAGAGTCAGAGAGTGCGTGGAGTATACCAAAAGATTGTGTAAATTACTCCCTAACATAGGAAGAAAGTACCAATTGTAGAAAGGTCCAAAGTGACTTTTAAAGGGGGTCATGGAAGTGACCTAGGAAGAGCCTAGGCTCTGCAGTCAAATTAGACCTGAGCGCTCACATCCTGAGTCGGTCATCACTTAACAACAGTTTTAGTTCTTTGAACCTCAGTATCTTTACATCTCAGATTTTTTCTGGTGAAGATTAAATATGAGACAATGTATTAAATAATCCAATACAGACACTTTGGCATCTAGCAAATTCAAGTTATTTCTCTGCTTCCATCAATTAAAAACTGGTTTTCAAATGTGTGTGATTCTTTTTGGCACCTTGTTATCTCCACTGGGTGGAGTAAATACTCATCAGATAGTGTGAACACTTTTTTCCTTCTTTTCTTCCAGTATTTTCTCCTCTACTTAAAAAAAAAACCCTCATATAACACTTTTAGAGGAGTGTAAAAAACAATGAAAAACCACTATATAATATTCCAATTCCAAACACTTAAGAGATAGCAAAGTTTTCAAGATTCTAAACTGTGAATTAGCCTATGTTAGGAGTTACAGCTGGAAAAGCAAGTAGTTAGATACTAAAAATCAGCATAGATAATCTTAAAACAGTTTGACTTATTCCTAAGAACAGAAAGAAAAAAAAATTAGCTACACAATATGGTATACTGTTCAAGAGTTAAATATAACCTAATCTGTGCAAAAAGACTACGAGCAGAAAGAAAAAAAAAGCTCTCAGAACTGACCTTCACATAATAGTTTCTGCAGGTTAGCCAAGGGGGCTCCCGGATAGCTCAGTTGGTAAAGAATTTGCCTGCAATGCAGGAGACCCCAGTTCGATTCCTGGGTCAGGAAGATCCCCTGGAGAAGAGACAGGCTACCCACTCCAGTATTCTTGGGCTTTCCTTGTATTCTTGGGCTTTCCTTGTGGTTCAGCTGATAAAGAATCCACCTGCAGTGTGGGAGACCTGGGTTTGATCCCTGGAGGCTACCCACTCCAGTATTCTGGCCTGGAGAATTCCATAGACTGTATACTGGGTTTATTCTGTATAGTACTCATGCATTTTTGCTCTCACCAGTTTTTTTTGTTTTTAATCAAGTCACTGTAGTTGTCCTCATACCTGTTTATACCAGTTTTGTTGCAGAGAAGGCAATTCTGACTCCATGTTGGAACTGTTTCTTTGACTTGCTTTTTGCTGCTTTTGTTATTATAATTATACAGAACAGCCTGCCTCAGAATCCTGCCCCTCTGTCTGACTATAAAGTGCCTTTGTTCAGAACCCTGTGTACCTGTAGACAGAAGGAGGGAAGAAATCAACATATCCCCTGCCTGAGGCTTGCCATTCCAGGAGATTGGCAAGATTAATGGTCTTTTTACTTTGGTTCCTCACCTCCCCCCATCTCTGATCTATAAAAGAACCTGGCATCCAGATCCCGATAAGATGGGTATTTTGAGGCATTAGGCTGCCATCTTCTCGGTCAGCCAGCTCCTCAGTCAAAGTCTTCCTTGCCTCAATCCCTCATCTCTCAGATTCACCGGCCTGTTGTGCAGCGAGCAGAGCAGAGTGAGCTTGGACTCGGTAACAGTTTTATTTTTTAATATAATTTATCTAATTTAATGAACTAGGTAAATAGCTGATATACAAAAAGAGGGCTGCTATTTCTATGAAACTAAAGTGATCACTTTGGAAAGACTGAATAAAGGTAAGTTGTTAAACTTGCTATCAAATTTGGTCTAAACAAGACAGATACAAAAAGATTGGTAGGGGGGAACAGAAATCTAGCAGGTTTCTGTTATCAGACTATTATGAAAGAGTCTATAAACTTGCTCTGATTTAAAGAAAACTAAACTAAAATTATACAGATGCACTGTGGCTATAATTCTTCCATGATAAATCATGTGGAACTTAAAATCAGTGGATCCACACACGAAGCCCTGGCACTATAGTAAATGATTGATAAATGAATATGTGTTTATAGTCTTAGGGTTAAAATAGTTAAAAGTATGTAGTGTTATTTTTTAGAATTATCCAGTTTGACCTTTATGATTATCTGATTTCAACTAAAGTGGCTAAGAAGGATTCAACCATAGTTAAATATCTAAAGAAGCACAGTCTAAAATTCTTAATGTAGAACTTGTGTGAGAACAAGACACATGAGTTTCTATGGTTGTGCTGTCATCAGGAGACTATGCATGATGTCAACATGAACTTAAAATAGATGTTTTTAAAGGAGATAGTGCAGAAAGCACTTATGAGTATATAATACCGATAATGTTTCAAAACACTGATAGACCAGACCAAAGAACCACCAAAGCTATTGGTAACATAAACAAACATCTAAATTGTGGCAAATCTGTGATTAGAGGACCCCTCACAAATTTACTGTAAATACAGTAAATCATTCTTCTAACCTTTTTTTGGTAATTTTTTATTGGAGTATAGTTGATTTACAATGTTGTATTAGCTCAAGTGTGTAGCAAAGTGACTCAGGTATACACACACGCATACCCACTCTTCTTAGACCTTTCCCCATACAGGTCATTTCAGGGCATTGAATAAAGTTCCCTACTGCTATGCACTAGTTCCCTGTGCTACACAGGAGACCTTCATTACTTATCTATTTTGTTATTCTTACTTTTTAAATAATATTTCTAGAAACAATATTTCAGAAATTAATTCAACTTTGTAGATGCATAATTTTAAGTGCTGGTAGGAGAGAAGAGGAAGGAAATAGTAATATACCTTTCACAGTATTTTTTTTTTAATACTACACTACTTTTAAATGCTTAGCGTATGGGCAGAATCATTATAGCTGATATTCTGTAATTTCTTTTTTAAACTGATAGAGCCTTTTTGCAATATACAAATCTAAAAAAAGAACTGCTCCCTAGTTCTCTGTAAATATAGTCCCCTATCACTAATTTACTCTAGTCCTGTTTTATAGATGAGACAAAAGGGCACAGATAGAATTTGCGTAAGGCCATAAAATTGCTGCTGCTGCTCCTGCTGCTGAGTCGCTTCAGTCGTGTCTGACTCCGTGCGACCCCGTAGACGGCAGCCCACCAGGCTCCTCCGTCCCTGGGATTCTCCAGGCAAGAACACTGGAGTGGGTTGCCATTTCCTTCTCCAGTGCATGAAAGTCAAAAGTGGAAGTGAAGTTGCTCAATCGTGTCCGACTCTTTGCGACCCCATGGACTGCAGCCTACCAGGCTCCTCCATCCATGGGATTTTCCAGGCAAGAGTACTGGAGTGGGTTGCCATTGCCTTCTCCGCCATAAAATTGAGGGATAGCTAATTCCAGTTTTAACATTCTCAACTACTTAGATTTACAACTGAGTTTCTGAACTGTTCTAACAATTTAAAACTACACATTTAAAAGAATTAAAATATCCTACAACCCAACAACAAAAAACAACTTTATTAAAACTTGGGCAAAGAGTTTAAATAGATAGTTTTCCAAAGAAAATGTAAAAGTGGTCAATAAGCATATGAAAAGATGCTTAGCACAGCTAAATGCACATCAAAACAACGCACCACTTCACACCCATTAGGAAGGGTATTATAAAGCAACAACAAAAGTAACAAGTGTTGGCAGGGATCAATGGAAACTGGAAACCTTGTGAATTGCTGGTGGAAATGTAAAACAGTGCAGCCACTGTGGATAATAGTTAAGCGGTTCACTAAAAGATTAAATATAGAATTACCATATGATTCAACATTCTATTTGTAGTTATTTACACAGAAGAACAGAAAGCAGGGTCTAAAACAGATATTGTATGGACACCCAGGTGTCTATCAACAGAAAACTGAAAAAACAAAATGTGATACATACATACAATGAAATATTATTCAGACTTGAAAAGGAAGGGAATTCTGACACAGAAAAACCTTAGGATATTATGCTAAGTGAAAAACACCAGGCACAAAAAGACAAATACTGAAATACTGTATGATTTCATCTATAGAAATTCACAGAGAAAGTAGAATGATAATTGCCAGGGGCTGGGGAAGAGGGAAGTGAAGAGCTATGGTTTAATGGGTTCATAGTTTTAGTTCTGCAAGATCAAGAGTACTAGATCACAATACTGTGGAACAATTATCCTATAATTAAAAAATAAATTAAAAGAAAAGTACTAGAGATTGGTTGAATAGTGATATACTCAAATCTAAAAAAGAGGTTAAGATGTTAAATTTTATGTGCATTTTATTACAATAAAAAAAGAAAGCCTGTAGATCTGTTAGGGGAAGCACACTGATTGAAACCGCCCACCCTGGCCAGGCACCACAGTAACCATTTGCATGAGTTGTTTTATGACAGGAGATCCTGATAAGGAATACAGACCTAATAAGCCACCACCCACCGGAAGAGTTGGGGAAAGGTGGAAAGGAGACACCACGTGTCCGTCCATTTCCCAGAATCCCTCTCACTAGCATCCATCTTGGCTGAGCGATGCGTGCGCCACCAGGAAAGAATTAGAATGACTGGCCAAAGACCATGTGGAAACCATAAAACCCGAGACTGCTAGCCAGGGAGCAGAGCAGTTCTCCTGGGTCCCCTCACTCTCCTGCTCTCCGCCCGGGTGCCCTTCCCAATAAAATCTCTTGCTTTGTTAGCACATGTGTCTCCTCGGACAATTCATTTCTGAGTGTTAGACAAGGGCCCAGTTTCGGGCCCTGGAAGGGGTCCCCCTTCCTGCAACAGATATAGGGCCTATTATTAAAACACAAATTACTGGGCTCCATCCCCACAGTTTCAAACTTAGTAAATCTGCAATGGGGCCTGAAAATTTGTGTTTCTAACATGTTCCTGGATGATGCCAAGGTTGCAGGTCCGGGGATGATATTTTGAGAAGCACTGCATCAAGCCAAAACTGGCCTTTCCAACATAAAATCAGTGATTTGTTATTAATAGCCATTACAATTACTTCTTTTCAGCTAAATGAGAACTTTATGAATGGAAACTCTGGCATAGGATAAAAGCATTTACTGTGGAGTCAGAAGTTCTGGATTCTATCGTTTACCAAATGTTAACATATATATATATATATATATATATATATATATATATATATATATATCCTGGATAAATTCTTCTACTTTTTGAGACTAATTTTCCTTGCCTCTGTTTTGGTGTTAGTATCTTAAGTTCTCAAACTAAGTTAATAACAAAAGTTAATTTTGGGCAGGGGAGGAGTTCAAACCAATTTAATGTTTTATATAGTCACAAAATTTTAGATTGAAGTTTCATGTTCTTAGGGCCCATAATTATAACCTTTTTGATGATAATAAGTTCCCCAAAGGGCTCCTTATCTAAGGAGTTCAAAAGACCCCAGGTAGGTAGTATGCTTATAGAGTAAAAATGATACATCTGAGAGTATTTGCATGAAATTATTTCAAGCTGTACCATGAACATTTAAAGTACATCCTTCAAAAAAAAATACATAAAGTACATCCTTCAGAAAAATTACTTCAAATTAATAAGCTCTTTTAAAGAATATCTTTTTCAGTAGCGTCAGCCAAAACCCAAGACTTACCCATTTCATAATTGGAGCCCAGAAAAATACTGTTCTGGGACCTGGAAAAAAAAAAGAGAAAAATTTAGCAATAAACCAACTATTTTCTATGTGCCTTTTAAACAGCCATCACATTTCAAAAACTCAAATATTTATGAATCTATTTCTAATAATTATTACTGTGCTTTCTGCATGCTTGTATTTAAGTTAAAATTTAGAGAGTCACCATGGCATCAATTTTTCATACAAGTTGTTTTGATTTCCACGTCAATTCTCTGTATTTTTGAGACCTATTAAAATTAGCTAAAGTATAATAGAGGTGGTTTTGGAAACTATTCTCAGTGTATTTTGCTTTGAACATGGAACTTAATATCATTTTATTTAAGGATAATCTTCAATTTGAGGAAATGATAAATTATGGAATTTTTGTGATATAAACTTCAGTAGATATATATATGTATATATTCACTAATTCTATTAATATTTATTATTATAAATGATGTCACCACATGTATTCTAGTAAAAGTTCTTACAAAAATTCTATATATCCTAGTAAAAAATTAATGACCCTAATCTAAATTAATTTAACCTAACTTTAAAGGGCAAACAAGAAAGGGGAAAGTCCTTGTTTTAGTTATCCTGGTACTCATCCACCTCATGCAAAATGTTCAATAAATGTTGACAGTATTTTTGAAATACTGTCAGTATTTTGAATATATTTGAATTTCAAAATAGTGACAGTATTTTGAAAAACAACTTTGGTTTTCCAGATAACCTGGAATTTGAGAAGCACTGTGAATTTCAGAAACAAATAAGCAATTTGTGTCAGAGCTAGAAGTAAACTCACAGATCATCTTTCATTTTACCAATAGGCTCAGAGAAGTTCCATGACCTACTTAAGTCATGCGGGTAGTAAGCCCAGCATTGTAACTAGAAACTAAATGTTCTAACTCTCAAAACTTGTGCTCTTTAACCAATAACCAATAACATAACTTCTTACTCTTCCAAATCACAGATCTCTTTTAATCTTTCAGGGCATACAGTGACAGGAAAAAAACAGATTTGTCTATGGTAAATCAAAAGCTAAATCTAATACAAATCAGAGCACTTAATATGGTGTGCAATGTTCTCAACATACTGGATCAACAAAAGACATTTATTTCTTAACATAATTTCACATAAGATTTTTAAGCAAATTCAAAATTTAAAAAGTCTAATTATATTCATGAATATTATTTCTACCTTAATATTCCACTTTACTTTGTAAAAATAAATAAATCACATCTAAAAGGGCATAATCACCCAAATGTAACACATTTATTTCTCTTCATCTACTCCAGTAATATTTCTCAATAGCACTATCAGGTAAGAATGATTTTTTTTCCCAATTTTACCCCTAGTAGGTAAGCATGGGAATACCAGACCACCTCACCTGCCTCCTGAGAAACCTGTAAGCAGGTCAAGAAGCAACAGTTAGAACCGGACTTGGAACAGACTGGTTCAAAACTGGAAAATGAATACGTCAAGGCTGTATATTGTCACCCTGATTATTTAACTTATATGCAGAGACAACATGCAAAATGCTGGGCTGGATGAAGCACAAGCTGGAATCAAGATTGCCAAGAGAAACATCCATAACCTCAGATATGCAGATGACACCACTCTTATGGCAGAAAGCAAAGAGGAACTAAGGAGCCTCTTGATGAAGGTGAAAGAGAGTCTAAAATCTGGTTTAAATTTCAGCATTGAAGAAAATAAGATCATTGCATCTGGTCCCATCCCTTTGTGGCAAATAGATGGGGAAACAATGGAAACAGTGACAGACTTTGTCTTTTGGGGCTCCAAAAGTCACTGTGGACAGTGACCGCAGCCATGAAATCAAAAGACACTCCTTGTAGAAAAGCTATGACAAACCTAGACAGTGTATTCAAAGCAGAGACATTACTTTACCAACAAAGGTCCATACAGTCAAAGCTATGGTTTTTCTAGTAGTCAGCTATGGATGTGAGTGTAGGACCATAAAGAAGGCTGAACACTGAAGAATTGATGCTTTCAAACTGTGGTCCTGGAGAACTCTTGAGAGTCCCATGGGCAGCAAGGAGATCAAACCAGTCAATCCTAAAGGAAATCAACCCTGAATATTCACTGGAAGGGCTGATGCTGAAGCTGAAGCTCTAACACTTTGGCTACCTGATGCAAAGAACTGACTTATTGGAAAAGACCCTGATGCTGGGAAAGATTGAGGGCAGGAGGAGAAGGGGACGAAAGAAGATGAGATGGTTGGATGGCATCACCGACTCGATGGACATGAGTTTGAGCACGTTCCAGGAGATGGTGAAGGACAGAGAAGACTGGTGTGCTGCAGTCCATGTGGTCACAAACAGTTGGACATGACTGAGCAACTGAACAACAATAACAAGGTGAATATTCACTGTCATTAATAAAGAAATGTTTCCAATCACATACATAAATAACATTTAAAAGATAAAATTGAATTAAACCTATTATTTAAACATAACAGATAGTGAAACTGAAAAAGCATGGAGCTAAGAAAAGAAAAAGCCGGGATTTAAGCTAAGATTTAGTTGCAGTTGTGGCTTCAGTTTGTTGCAGAGATCATTCATTCATTCACTCATAGTAATTACTTCATGCTTTATAGTCCCCTAGGCACTAGGGATACATTGGCAAATAAAACACAGAGCTGGTTTTTCATAACTTAAGCACAGGCAGGTTAAGTAAAATCATATCTGTAAGCTGTATAAAAACATTTTAGGGAAACAATTCTAAAGTGCTTTTCATCAAAACCACTCTATTTTCAGTTATATAATACTACCACTCAAAACTGAAAATTAAAGCAATGATAATCTTTCTTTTTTGGATGCATTTTGGCTGAATTACTATCAAAAGTAGTTGGTTAATGTTAACAATAGGGAGAGAAATTTGAAAAATATAAAAAATGGTATCTGATCCTTGTGTAACTTTTGCTTATTAATTAGTTCTTAAAAAGTATCAAATAGTATAAACTATTGCTTACCTTTAGCAATACTAAGTGATTGTAATGTTACAGTTTGGACTATGCCACTATTCAAAATATTCTTGGAATATTTTTGTAGTCCTCTCAAACTAATTCACATTGTTCAATGTGGTTTAAATACAACTAGATTTAAAAATCAGATGTACTATTACTAATATTTTACTAATAATCTACTGTAATTAGCTCTGTATTTACTTATACTGATAAGTCTGGCTTACACATATGAGTTTCTAAGTAAGCTTATTGATTCCCTAGAACATTTTTTTTTTCCAGTTACAACTCAGTTTTATTGGCAAGCAAAGGATAGTACACCCTCTAGGCCTGAGGGCAGGCCAGCCCAAAAGGAGAGGCCTCAGTCCCTCTTTGGCCTCCTTCTTTTATATGTTTGTCTCCTCCCCGCCTTGAGCCTACCCTACGCAAATTGGGCTGGCTCAGAAGGGGGCCTGTTTCACCTTAAGTTCTCACTCGTGTCAGTTGATTTTCCTTTGTTCTGTTTTTGCAGGCTTTTTCCTTTGTCTTTTAGCCATCACCATTTTGGGCTCCTTTTCCCTATTCTAACTTTCTAATATTCCCCCCTCAAGAGATGGGAGGCCCAATTCTTTGGGAATAGGGGTGTCGAGGTCTCTCTGGCTATTTCCTGCTGAGCTGGGATGGCTAGGGGCATTGGGCCTTCCTCTCTTGCTCCTAGAACATTTAAACTTAATCCTAAAGTTCCTCTGTAATTTATCTTATTTTCTCAATCTTCAGGGAGCTGGATACCATCTTTAAACTAATAATTCTTCGAACACTAGAGTATCATGGCATAGCCCCTGTCTTTCCTTATGGTCCAAAACAATTATTCATCTTCTTACATACATATGACAGTGAGTCATTTTTATGCTTGACTATGTAGTGTAAGTTTTCTATATTTTAAATTAGAGCAAATCTAGACAGTACTGAAATGGTTGCTGGGAGAGTTAAAACTATTAAGGAATTCTAAATTTTAATGTTCTTTTAACTGAGTGAAAATCTATATTTAATTCCTGAGTTATTAATCTTTAATCCAGTGTCCTAAATTTTGTACTGTTCTGATCACAGCCACTATTACACTTCTAGAACTCTGGCACATAATGATTCCCTCTTCTCACTATTTGAACAAGATAGGGAAATCTTTAGTAGATTAGGTTGGCATTTCGAAAGAAATGTTTAAAGGATAGAAAACATGAAGGCATTGAGTTTCAAAATATAAATTCCTAATCCGAACTTGTTGTTTAGTCGTTAAGTCATGTCTGACTCTTTGCAATCCCATGGACTGTAGCCGCCAGGCTCCTCTGTCCATGGGATTTCCCAGGCAAGAATACTGGAGTGGGTTGCTATTCCCTTCTACAGGGAATTTTCTCAACCCAGGGGTTGAGCCCACATCTCCTGCATTGGTAGGCAGATTCTTTACTCCTGAGCCACCAGGGAAACCTAAGTTAATTAAATTTTAGCCCAGGTCACTTGTTCTCAGCCAAAGGTGATTTTGCTCCTCAGGAGACATTGACAATGCAAAGGACAACCCCCCTACAACAATAATCCAGCACCCAAAATATCTGTTGTGCAAGGTTAGGAAACCTTTGTCTAGGTGGACTGACAAGCTAGGCAAACATGCAACTATTTTCCTGCTGTTTCATGGTTCTAAATCTTAGTTCATACTATCTCCTCTCAATATTTGGCCTTGTCTTCATCTGGCTAACTCCAACATCCTTCTAAAACTCATTGTAGGTTTTGTCTCCTCAAGGCCTAGATTAAATGCTCCTTCTCCGAACTCTCAAAGCAGCAGTCTGTCTATTCTTCTATTGTTTTCTGCACATAACAATTAAACTGAACTATTTATGCATGCATTACTTTAATTAGACAAAGTCCTGAAGTTAAAGACTGTTTCTTAGTTTTCCTAGACAAATATATTTGAACAAAATTGAACTGGATGAACCATATCCAGGAGAGATGCTAATCAGAGACATTCAAATTTTAGGAAATTTGAATATTTGCCTTGATACTGCTGCATCT